ACACTCAACATTCTCTTTACCATTAAAGCCATTTCTACAACCTAGCTTCAACTTATTGTGTACTTAGAGCCTTAAAAAATCTTTACCATGTACAAACCTTGGGCTCTGCACAATGTGATTTGTTTCAATATAATCTTGTCCCTTGTCTCCACTCTTTCGTTTCTTCATTCCTATTAGATTCTGAGCATTGGTACTGCGGCAGTTTCCCACTCTAATACAGGTTTCTACCCTGAATTTAAATTTAAATCCAAATATCACATATCAAATGTACATTGTTTCATTTAGTAATAGAATTCAATAAATGCTATAAACAGTATAACCAGAATGAAATCTCACTGGTCTGATGATCATACTACTAATAATTCCCCCATATCTAGAAAGTCCTTGAACCCTACAGATCAGATCCACTGCCTCTTCCTGTATATCCATAATTCTGAGTTCTCCTAGTATTATCTTGATTATTCCATCCATATGACAAATATAAACAGTAAAAGGCTGTTTCCCTTTCCCTAGATTCATCAAGAACTGTTCATAATTTGGGAGTACAGAGTATTTTTACTTGGACTGTGAGTTGATGACCAACATTCACATTTAGAGAAGTGATTTTTTAAACATATCAACAGTGGAATCCTTTCATGTCTGCACAGAAGCAAGCCCCATTTACTCCCAAGTAAATGCATATATGACTGCAGCCTTGATCTTGTCTTTTTATAGTTTTTCAAGTGATAAATTGTTCTAAGCCTAGTAGACAGTGTAGTAGAGGAACACAAATAAATGAATCAGCCATTGCCGTTACTGATCACAGCAACACAAGTTACCCAGCTAACTAGCTTGTGGAATGAAAGTTAGAAAGCAGTATATTATTTATTTACTTAGGAAGTTTTCAGCCATCAGTCTTACAGGAATATTCTGAAGGTAGTTTCTGAATGAAGCATATAAACCATAAACCTTTTATTGTACGACTGTCCTTTTATCACGAAACTTTTTGTAATAGGATGAGATAGAAAAGCTTTAAATAAATAAATAACCCATAATACACTTATTACCCAATAGTAACACACACCAAATAATGAAATGGCAAAAACAACCGAAATCAGAGCTTGAACCTATAAATGCAGAAAATGCACCCAACAAGTTAATAAAAACACAAAGAGGAACAATTTCTCAAACAAACAAACAAGTATCTCATGAAAAAAAGTTCCACATGAAGTGCACCAAAGCAGCGAATGGCTATCCCCAGTTGCCACCTATCCTACCTCTGAAGAAAAGTGTGCAATGAACATCTTAAGGAAATGATCCTACGGCTGCTAGATGCACCGTGGGTCTACAGCCCCAGCTCCAATGTCAAAAATGCACTCTCAGCCACAACATGCTGCCTTCCAGGATGCAGCATTAAGACTACCTACTCCCATTAATGATTTAATGGGAGCATGTAACATTCTTTATATTATTTTTCTTTGTTGCCCTGCTTTTCCTTCACAACATCAAAACAAATTCAACAAGCGTAATGTAAACTACTTACAAAGCAAATCAAATTGAAAGCACCCCAACCACAACAAAATTCAGGGATTTTTTTCTTCTACAGAATACAGTAAATACTACATTTTTGTTTGTTCATTTTAATTCCATGTATTGTGAAAACTACAGCATAAATTTCATGGCTTTGCTTAGAAAATTTGTTTAGAACCTGTCACTAAACAACCACAGCTAAAGAACTTCTTTAGAACAGCTATGATAGGTCTGAAATGTATTACCTGACAACAAAAATGTATTCAAGGTACTCAAAACTCCCACAACTTGTATATTTAAAACTTACTGATTAAATAAGTGTATTTTGGGAAACTATTGGTTCCTAATTCCCAATAAAAGAAACCATGTTCAGAAGATGCATTACTTGGGTCACTGGTCACATCAGTAAATACAGGAAGCAGTTTGTTAATAGATTTCCCAAGGTTTTGGAGTAGAATATTTTATTTCAAAACAAAGCAAATATAGACTTGACTTTAGCATCAAGAAAAAGGGTGCAAAGAATTCTCTACCATAAAAATAATTATTCCATTAATAAGGAGTAAAGGCTTATGTGAACACATTCAGAAGAAAAAAAATGAAAGTTGTGCTCACTGTTACGAAGGTGCATCTGCTCCTTGAATAAATCCTTGTTTTAAAATTTCAGGAATGTTTTTAGAAATAAATTACAAGTGCAAGACTCCTGCAGTAATGCTTTACTTCTTCATCTGGGGTCTCTATCCTGTTGAATGACTGCATTAACACAAGAACTACTATATCCAGTAAGAATCCACAGCTTCTCCAAGCAAGTTCTTTTCTAGTGTTTGTCAAGTGGCTTTTATCTGAGCTGCACAGTGGTCACTTCAACATATTATCTTCAGCACCAAATAAAAATTATTCTTTATTAAATTGCAATAATCTATATATTTCAACCCATACATCACAAACTGTTTTCCATTTCAAGAAAAGCTTATTGACAGAATTGTTTTTTATTACTCAACAAAAAGCAGAAATCGTGAAATAATTTAGTAGTTCACTTTTATATTCTTTTTGGACAACTCCCTTGTATTTCTAGAAGATAACATGGTGAAGCAACCAAAAATCTTTTACATCTTTTACAAATCCAACGCTATGCTACTGTTCCAGTCACTTACGGAAAAAAGTCAACCAATGCCCAAGGAAAAGATGCAATACAGTGTAGATTCCTGTTTCCCAAACAATAATTGCAGTAAAAGGTAGTATTGAGTCTGGACAGTTTTTCCAAGCTAAACATTTATGTTTATCCCTTTACAGGAATAATAAGACTAATTTCTCTTCCACTTGAAACTTAGTCTGAAGGATCATTAAGCAATTCTGACATCACTAAAAGATTTCTAAATCATTTGGGTCAAAATATTTCAAGAGTATGCCTATTTGTAAAAAGAAACAATAACAAAGTACAATCAATAACAAAGTACAGTTTTCTATAGTACTTTAAATAAAAAACAAATTATGTTATAAAGCAATTTTCCATACTAATTACAACCCAACTCATCTGGTTTGGTTAACATACACTGCAATCCCATGTCTGGAACTTACTCCGAGGCAAGCTGGATATTTGTAGCCTTGTTAAATATTTCAAACCCACTAGGTCCAAATCACACCAAGTATTTACCATATGTTTATGGCTATAACTTAGTTTTGCTCAAGCACTCTTCCAGCTCATTAGTTAATGTGACAAAGAAATACCAGTTTCTATGGTCCAATGAACATGATTTGAGTAATACAGCAAGGCAACATTGCATTTTGACCATCACAGTTGGATGAACTGGAAGAAACTAATCTCAGGCCAGTCAACTCTGTTTTCTACCATATGATTCAGGTAACCTAAAACCATTGCAAAAGTGACTTCCAGTAAAAAATTCAGGAATCCCCAACACCAGAACCAGGATGCTCAATTAACTGGCCCAATGACATTACTTAAGAAGATATAAGCAGTAAAAATGCCATTAAAAGTTTGAACAAGTTTAATTTATTGAACCTGGTCATAAAGTAGCTTTCTTACTGCCAAGTTCCCTGCAAGTTTTAATTTGACTAGCATCTTCACAATGATTAGCCATGATTTATTCACTGTTACAAGAAAAAACTTTTATTGTGACTTTGCTGGTTCAAAAGTGTATGGTATTCAAATCACCTAATATGAGCATGGATATGGGTTATTTTCTATTGGTTGAATGAACTGAATACATTCTCCATTCATAGTAAGTTCTCCCTGGAGTATTGGCAAGACCCTAAAGGCACAATCCTATATACATTTGCTTAAAAGCAAGTTCCACTGTGTTCAATATGCTTTACTCCCTAGTGTGATTTAGGATTGCAGCCTTTAAGCTTCATGTTATGTTCAATATTATCTCAGTAGTTCTATGGTTCCAAACTCAAATGAACTACAGTAATTTAAAAATACACATACACCACCCCAAACTTATTTAAATATGTTTGTAAAAGGGAATCACCCTTTGCAAGCATATTCACCAAAATGACTTAGAATGGTTTCAAAATCATTGTTACCGTATGACCATAAACACAACACGTGGTAAAATATATCTGTATTGCTTTTTTTTTTACCCAGAAAGTTGTATCCAAGAGAAATCCCAACGTGCGTCCATTGGCATTAGGGATTTGAAACTGACACTAGAGGACCGGAAATTCAAAGTTAAGCAGTCCCTCCTCACCAGGCCAAGCCAGAAAGAACCCAACCTATACCACTGAGTCACTTAGACATCTTTCAAGTAGAATAGCAAGCACCTTGGCGTCTTGGAGCACTGACTTTGAACCAACCTCACCACAATAAATTGAAAAAACTTCCCTTTTCTGCGAAACAATGTGCAGACATATTGAACGTTTCATGTTTTGCACTAACTTCGAGGCTTCGGGGCAACTAACTTCGAGGTTGCTGCGAGGCTAAGATGTCAATGTACTTTCAAAAGCCACCCCAAGGAAAGAAAGAAGCCCTCTCCTTTGCTCTCCCAAGAGGGGGCACGGCGTTTGCACCAGTTTTTGCACACTGGCAAAACAGTCCACTTCGTGTGCAAAAAGAGAGTCTGAACAACTCGCGACTGTCAGCGCCGCTACCCTCCGTCCGGCACCCACCCTTCCCTTCTCTCCTCGTGGCGAGACCAGAGAGGGTAAGGGGTGGTTGTGGAGTTGGGGGAGGAGGGGGGAGGGAGAGAGAAAGCGCAAGCCAATGGTAACACTTTGGCGTCTCCTCCTTTCAGTCATATTTCCGTCCTCCTCTAGCGAAACTGGGGGAGGGCGCCGGGAGGGGGGAAGGGAAGGGAGGGAAAGCGAGGCAGGTTCGCAATTTGGAAACACACGCACAGGGCCCCGCCAAGAAAAGGGGGAAGCAAAAAGAAATTGGGGGGGGGGCAAATTTTAGCATGATCACACAAAAAAGAGGGGGAGAGTAAGGAAGGCGGAGACGAAGAGAAGGAGGGGGGAAGCACTGGGGCTCTTACCTCGTAGAGTTCCTCGGAAGCCATGCTGAGGCGCCCGCCTGGCCGCCTGCCTCCCAAGGTGGAGTTGGGTGCTGGTTTGGAGATACTTTTGTCTCAGTTGGTGTCTGGTATGGCCTCTCCTCCTCCTCCTCTCCCACCCCTTCTTCTCCTCCTCTTCCTCCTCCTGCTGCTTCTTCTCTATCTGTATGTGTCTCGGTCCTCTCCCTAAATGCCCGTGTGGTGCTGGTGCCTCTGCCGCCCCCCCGCCGCCGCTGGTGGTGCTTGTGCGCAGAGCAAGCTGCGCAACGGGCTCGCTCACTCACACTCGTACTCACTCTCGCACACTTTGCTCGCGAGGCGCGGGAGAAGGGGGAGGGGGGAGGAGGAGGAGGAGGAGGCAGCAGCAGCTGCAGCGGCGGCGGCGACTCCCGTACCCGCCGCCACCACTCGGTGTCCCTCCCCGCCCCTGGCTCCGGCGGCTGGCTAAGTCTCCTTCTAGGATCACTAATCGAGCGCAGAGAGAGCGCCACACCGCTGGGTTCCAGCCTCGTCTAGCGCCATCCTCTTCCTCCCCCTCCCCCTCCCCTTCTTTGATCGCCCATTGTCTCCTCAGCTGAGCGGCGGCGCGAGGGGGCGGCGGGGATTGGGCCAATGGCCGCCGGGAGGAAGGGGGAGGAGCGACGAGAGGGGCGGAGGGAACGGAGGAGGAGCAGCAACAGCAGGAGGGAGAAAGTGGTGATGGGTGGGGGGCTGGTCTGCCATATGCCTCATTGGAGGAAGTGGTGGAAGCCGTGAAGGGAGAGCTGGACCCAACTTCTGAGAAGACTGAGGTTCCCCAAGCCCCTGGAAAGTGCTTCAATCCCATTGAGGATCTGCTGAAGGAGCAACAGAAGCTCCCTTCAACCCCCAGTTCCATGGAAGCAGACACTCAGTATCTTCTCACCTATCCACCTATCCTCTTTGCCTCATCATCCATCCCTATAGACTTCCCAAACCTTCATTTATCCAAGGGTTGGGAAGTCTTCAGAGGCTACACTCTGATGTGACATTTGTCAACTTCCTCTCCCATGTATTCCTTGCCTTCTCAACCTCCACATTCCTTTTCATTCTAGCTTTAATCCTCTTCAACCCAGCTGTATTATCACACCCATCCAAATACATTCCTTGCAAATGCTGATCTGGTTTATTCATCTACATGTTGATCCTTTCCATCTACTCATTTGCCTAACCTTTTAACATTTCATTCATCTCCATCTCTGTACTTCATGTTTTTCTTGGTCCTTCAAGAACGTTTATTATTTCCATGGGTTCAACTCTCAACCCATCAACACTTGTGCTCTCCACCAGCATACCTAACCTACAATCATAGCTTTTTGTTTGCTAGGGTTTCTGCTCATGCCTAGCTGTGTGTTTACTCATTCACACTATTTTTCGTATTTACCAACAGTTACATCCACCATATACACTCACTCTCCCACTTCCGCATAGCCTATTATCTTCATCTATTCATCCATCCAGGATTTCCAGAACCATTATTTTATCTCCTTTTACATACTCCTCATCCTTTCCTGTTATTACCTATTCAGTTTATAATATTTTCTATCTAGCCAATCCATTATACATTAATTTGTTCATCTCTTCACACACACACACACACACATATATATCCCCTACTCTCCAACTTCATTCTGTTTTTCTGTCAATTGTTTCACTCATCTTTATGTTCATCACTTTCACCTGCTTCTATTCTTGTGGTTTCCCAATCCCTGGCATTATCCATCTGCTCTATTTGCAACCCATTTGTGTCTTATTTTTAATCTATTCATATCTCTATTCACCCCTCTTCTTTTACTCATATTTCATATTTCGTATAAAGACTCCAGAATGTCAGTTGACTATACATGCACTTACTGTTATTGTGGTTGCTTGTGGAGACAAAATGTTAGTGCGGCATAGGAAGAAAAGAAATTCCATTACAATAGCAATAAAACTCATGAAAAACTTCTTAGCATGTTTCTTCAGCTCCAGCAGGGAAAAAGTTATTAAATATTATCTTTAAAATAACTAACTATCCCCACTCAATTACAGCAAAATGTAGGCAAGCCAGCTATGTAAGGACAGCAACATCAAGGTGGTGAAAACTTGAATTCTCGTGCAACTGAAGAAGTTTAAGTCAATTAATGGAATTAAGTTGATTATAAATTCTATGTGAATAAAGATTTGAAAAAAGAAAACTTTTTATTTGTGGACATATTTACCAGAGTGGAAAAAAGATGACACTTTTTTCAGTTTTGGAAAGTGTGGGTTCATTAAACAATATAAGGCTTCAACACAACTGTCTCTGCAGCCAGGATTTCAGTTTACTTTTGCAGAATCCATGAATGGGCCAAACTTACTGATAATAACTCCTGCTACAATTAATGGCCTCTATGAAGAACCTGAAATAGTTGGATTATGATGTCTGTTTAGTCATACTGGAAAGTTATGAATGCGTCTCCCAACAGACAAGGGACTTGCACAGAAAGGCTTACCCAGTTGTTATTATTAATAACATTATTCTGTTCTCCAGGCATGCTCTTTTATATTTGAATTTCACTTTATAGTACATATCCAATGTTTGCTGCAGCAAATGTTTAAGATATAGATGTTTGGGCTGTTTCATAGTCTGCTTCTGGATAAGCAACTTAAGTTAAAGAAAAGCAGTTTTTCATATTCTTATTTTAAAGAATCTAGTCAACCAATACTGCTTTTGCACTGCTATATTCATGGGGAGCAGTCAGACTTGAGTCACTTTCAGTCTCTGGTGTGCATTTCAGTGTTTTGAATCTTGGGGTCAAGAGAAGTTACATCTTCATATCTTTTGAGATTTCACATGCTCATCCTCTCATATCAATCAACATTGCTTTAAGTGTTGAAGTAACAGTTGTCAGAAATTTCCATACTGTTGGATAAATAAGCTACAGCAGTTTCAACAATATGAAGTGACACACTTTTGAGCTTCAAGAAGCTCTGATCTTTCAAGACAAGTTCGCAATATTTAATTACATTTTCCATTCAGTTCTGCTATGATAAAAAAAGTCCGTGAATGCTTGTTGAACTGGCAACCAAAGCTTCTTCAGCATTAACTTTTATAATATCTATGATTTTACAAATGCAGTTCTATCTTGTGATGATATCCTGTTGCAGTTTGTTTTCAGTCCAAGTTTTCAGCTTTACTAAGAGTAGAACATCTTTTCATGTACTATGCTAGAAGTGAGCTACAGTCTTATGTCACTTGTCAAGCAGCTTGTCAATTGAGGCTACAGAAGGAGCTTTATTAATGCTTGGCTACAAAATATTTGTGGCATATATAACATTTTCACTTTTAAATCTGTCAATTACCTCTCAATATTTTGTCACCTCACCAGATTCTGCATCACTATCTGTTGATTCATCTAAAGTGTTGCACTTCATTCCAACTGTAAACCATCCGATAACTGGTTATCCCAAGGTAACTGTGATTTGGTAGAGTCAGCTGTCAGCTAAGAGTCATTTCATTACCCTATGAGCCTCACATTCTGAATATCGCACATGAGTTTCTTACTTGTTTAATAATACTTGTTCTGCTTGGGTGTTCATAACTTGAATAGTACATACTCTGCAAATTTGATGGGCCTTTAGTCAGGAACTTTCCACGTTACTATTTTATTGGGTTATTTTCTGCATTTTAGTAAGAATCACTAATTTCAATATCTGCATTCAATTGAAACTGCTTATTAGAGGGTGGTAATGTAGCAGATTCTTCTGCTTGAATATTTATCATTTGGTTCTTATATAGTAGGTTAAGCTGGAAACATTTCCAAGTAGCTGAATTTTATTTTGCAAATAGGTTAGTAAATAAGCTCCATGTCCCTCACATTTGGTGCCACTTCTGACTAAGCCAACCCAAGGTGTCAGCCACACATACACACATGACACGCACACAGATGCCTAATTAAAGCAGGTTGGTCTAGTGGTTTGCCTGACTAATGAGAGCCATTTTTCCTTGAACAAGGAAGTACTAATAAATGACTGAATGAATCAATCAATCAGTGTTGCAACCCTAGTTAGCACCCAGCTTGTCTGTGAAAACTTTTGGTCTAATTACATATCATTGAACATATATTCTTTCCCATGCTATCTCTCCTTCTCTCTTTCTGTTACTTCCCCCAGTGTCAACATCTAGATTGTGCTCCGGACGGGAACCTTTCATTTGCACATTGTGAGTACCAAGTAATTGATGGCAATACATCAGGCAATCAAAGAACAAGCTATGGAGACATCTGGAAACCATCAATTTATTCAATGCAATGTGTATTAGGGTACTTGTTGAATGACGGGAACGGGAATCTTCCCATAAAGACACTGCTATTGTGTTGTACTATTCAGATTTCCAATACTGGAATCCAGAACCTGCAACAAGAGAAGAAGCACAGAGGCTTCTGGTTTGAAGGGAGAATCTTCAGGAGCAAAATGTTGATCAAAGAAATGAAAGGATATTCTGCCTTCAGATCTTGTGCAGGAGAGCAGCATTGTATAGGGTCCTGTAGTAGACCCCACTGCATACCAATGCCCCATGCCCATCTTAGCAGATGGGTTGCCCCCCCTCCTCCTCCTCCCCTCCTCCTCCTCCTCCTCCGTATCTGCTGGACACAAGAGGCAACTGGAGCCTACCAGAGCAATGAGATGAGGAGGATGGCAGTGATAGTGGCAATCCTCTGATGAGCACCAGGCAGCCATGGCAATTGGCTACCATGCCTTGCAGGAGCTGTGACAGCATCATGCCCTTACTGGCTAACTTGGTTATTTTGTGTGGAGAAGACACATTCAGTAGAACTACAAATGAAGAGGGTGCACTGTTTTTGAAGCTAATTTGTTTTTGGTGTGTTTAAGTAATCATGCTATCCTAATAAGATTGGTGCATATTGTTCTTGCATATTTAACTTGCTTTTTAAATTGTTGCATTTAATTGCTTAGCATCTCAAAAAGGCACCTAGATTGAGCTTTCTGGTAATACATAAGTTTATTTAAATGTAATTTCTTGGTTAAAAGGCAGATGTTTAACCTACTAAAGTGCATTTAATTGGTTCATATTATTCATGCTTTTGTAGTCTTGGTATTGCAATCCTACACATACTTTGGATAAGATTCTTTGAACTCAGTATGACTTACTTCTGAATGAGCGTGCAGGGGATCAAGACTGGCTTTAAGTCCTCTTGTACAGATTCGCTAGAGAAAGAAAAATAATAATAGGACAATTTTAGTAATTTCTCTAGATGATTAGAAGCAAATGGGAATCCTCATTTGACCTATTAATCAAAAATTATTTGCAGTGGAACAATTATTCTGGGTTATGCATCACAGAAAAAAGATGCCAAACATGCAGGACTTATTGGGAAGGGAAAGGAGACAACATTTCATGAGACAAGAAACATTTCTCTGTCTGTCTGATTTTGAAGTTGCTGATATGAAAGATCCAAGTGAGTCCCAGATGGGTTAGTGGATGAGTGATAGGACCATAAATTTGTCACATACATGTTATTGTAGATCATAACTGAAGAGCTTCTTCTTTTATGTAATGGTTGAG